GGCATATAAATCCAATAAACAAACAAACAAATAAACAAACTGCACCAGGAGAGGCTAAACCAATTTCGTTGTATACATGAGATACAATGACAATAAAGACTTTTGACTTAGATGCCTGCAGAGCTAGTGCATTTTATTAGTTGATGTACAAGTATTATACAAGGCCAGAAATTGGGTTAATTGGGTGACAAAGCAGGTCTTTTCGGTTTATTTGTCCAGGGAAAGATGCCTCCAGAGCTTTTGCCACAGGTGACTTCACCCCAGCTGGCCTCGTGGATGATGTTTCAGGATTGTTACCACCACAAATGCTGGCCATCCAGAACTGGCTTTCCTTCTACTGTAAGAATTACGTGCATATTGGTATGTAGAGATGTCTTGAAACCACAGACATCAATCAATCTTATTCGCACCAACTTTTCAGTCAAATTTTAGCGCAGCATGTTCTTAACTCAGCTGATATAGCCACTCAAAGTTACCTTGAGGTAAAATGGGCAACCTATACATTTTACATATTTAATTGCCCATCTTCCTATGAACAAAATGCAGAATTCCTATTGGGGTGGACTTGGACTTGGACTTAATCTCCGTAAATGTCAACGTCCGTGACCGTTGCATTGTGAAGGCCAAAGGCAGAACGTCACGGATTACAGAGTGGGTGCATGTAAGAATATCAGGTTTATTAAGAGAATGTATAGAGTTTAAATAATTTAGGACACTTAATGGAATTTGCCTTAAAGAGTGGTGCAGTGGTGTAGAAGTGGAGCTCTTGCCTCACAATCAGGAGGTTGTGAGTTCGGTCCTAGGTAGCAGCAGATATTTCTCTCTCTGGGCACAATGAGTGAATATCAGCTGCGAACTCTGCATTGACGACAGGAAGGGTATCTGTCATTAAACACTCTGCTCCATTCAGTTGCCCCAACTCCACCCCGATGAATGGAATTACAGGGTCATTAAAGGACCAAAAAATAATAATATGGAATTTGTCTTAACCCATCAATTATTATTTTATCAATCTGGAAGAAACTTGTAGCCTGGAAGCTTTTAGTTTTGTTTCCATTTTAAGTTGTTTTCAAAATTCAGCAAAGAAGCTGGATTTGATGTAAAATTTTAAGTAAACTTGACCCAAGTTGTATACTTTTAAAAGGAAAAGAAAACAAACAGCGGAGAGCAAAAAACTCATACTATTGGCCTAACCATTTTCCTATTGAAACTTGGTTTATTGTTGGTTCAGTGTGTAACAAAAAAAATTGTGAGCAAAACCATGATTAAGCCAGCCATGGAAATCAGCATTTCAGGGATGAGTGTACAGTGGCATGTATTCTCTCTCTACTGCCTCATTTTTCAAAAGGCAAAGTAGCTGGACGATTTTACCAAGAAAATGGGGAACCTACGAAGGTTTTGAAGGAGGCCCAAGCGCTCATCGAAGAAGGGGAGAAGCTGAAGGCCCAGGAGGCTGAGCGAAAGAACCAGTTTCCACCTTGTAACTCTGAATGGAGCTCAGCTGGAGGAAGCAGGGTCTGGTGCTCCAAGCAGAGGTAGGATTTGGAGTTAAAACACTGAAGGACACGATGATCGTGGACCCACCAAGTGTAATGGTATGATGCAGATATTGGATTTATGCATCATAGTCACACGCTTGAGTCATTGGTAGCTCTTTGTTATGTTATGCTGAAGGTGAGTAGTCAGTTGGTGGCAGGGAGTAAGATTTTATATTTGTCTTGCCGCTTATGGTAGTAAAGTTATTTAAAAATAAATAAACTGGCAGTGCTTTTTTTAATGCTGTAGTGGGGGTGTGGTGGCTCAGTGGTTAAAGATGCTGAGTTTGTCAGCTGGAAAGCTGACAGCTCAGGTTCGAGACCCGAGAGCCGCACAATAGGCTGAGCTCCCATTCCTGCCCCAGCATCTTGCCCATCTAGCAGTTCAAAAATATGCACATGTGAATAGATTAATAGGTACCATTTTGGAGAGGCGCAACAGTGTTCCATGTGTCTTTGGCATATAGCCATACTGGCCACACAACCACAGAAAATGTCTTAGGACAATATTAACTCCCTTGGCCAAGAAACGGAGAGGAGTACTGTGCTCTAGAATCAGACACAACTGGACAGAGAAACCTTTATCTTGTACTACATGTAGTCCTCATTTAACAGCAGTAATAGGGAGCTCTAAACCAGTGTTTCTCAACCTTGGCAACTTGAAGATGTCTGGACTTCAACTCCCAGAATTCCCCAGCCAGCGAATGCTGGCTGGGGAATTCT